CTTCTATTTCCCGTCACTGTATTTTTAAGTCATGTAATCATTCATCTAGATTTTTAGTACCTAAACTACTTAAAGAGAGATTGCTGATTGATCACTCATTTTATGTGCCGCTGTGCGCTCGTATTTGTGAATACCATTTAAATGAACCCCACAATGATTGGAATAATTTATACACGAGTAGTAACTGTTCAGATTTTACTGCATCTCAGATAGACAACCTTTGTTCCTTACTTAAAAGTAGTGTTACTCAAAATTATAATATTTTAAATATCATTGAACATAATTCAATATTATGCAAATATTGGTTAGGATTTGCCAACTACTTTTTGAACAGTTACTAGTTGAAATTCCATCTATCAGTGAAAGAGTTAAATCACCTAAAAGAAGTCTAGCTATGTTCTTAATGAAACTTCGTACAGGTGATAGCAATGAACGGATAGCTTCTCTATTTAATGTAGCTTCATCGACTGTGTTCAATCACTTAAATATTGTAAGTCAGTGCTTTGAAGAGCAATTCATCCAACTGCATTTAGGGACAAATACCTTATGCATTCAACAAGTTGCTCAATATAACTTGACAATACCAAATGGCTTGTATGGTAATCCAGATATGGATCCTGAATTTATGCCAGCCATAGTAATATGTGATGGTACATACATTTATGTGCAAAAAAGTAGTAATTACTTATACCAGAAGCAAACATATAGTTTACATAAGTATCGTAACTTAGTTAAGCCATTTTTAATAGTGTGCTGTAATGGTTATATCCTTGATGTTTTTGGACAATATCCTGCAACAGAATCAGATGCTTCTATAATTATTAGACTGTTCAACGATAATATACCACTGAGAACCTATTTTAGAGAAAACGATGTATTTATTCTTGATAGAGGTTTTAGGGATGCAATTCCATTCTTGCAGCAATGTGGTTATAAGGCTTACATGCCTGAATCTAAACAAGCTGGTGAAATACAATTATCAACCATTGCTGCCAACAAGTCCAGATGTGTAACTTTGTGCAGGTGGGTGATTGAAATTGTAAATGGGAGATTTAAACGGGACTTCAAATTATTTCGTCAGGAATATTTTAATACTGCATCTACTCATCTCATGCTATACTTTAAAATTGCAGCTGCATTAATAAATCGATTTCATACGTTGATTCGTAATAATTTTCATGCTGTAGAGATATTGGCAATTGCTCAAGCCAAACTAAACACTCCAAATAATTTAGCCTCCTATGTAGAAATGCACAATTTAAATAGAGTGAGAGTGCGATTTGCCAGCATTAATGGTAATCTTCCAGAGCTGGATAATTTTCCTCAACTGACGTTCCAGGATCTAATTTTGTTTAGTTTAGGAATTTATCAAATTAAACAAGCTCGTAGTTATTACGGGGAGCATGTCAGGGCTTCTGGAGAATATAAAATCGAGGTATACCTGCAATCTGTCCATGATTTTGGTCCAAATAGTTATCTATTGCGAGGTAGGATACAATCAAGGCACACTAGTAAAAAAACTTATTACACTTATATACTAGTTGACACCAACCCATCAATTGCTAACACTAGAGCTGCTCTTACTGGGTACTGTTGCAATTGTTTGGTAGGCAGACGCACTGTTGGCTGCTGTGCACATGTCATGTCTGTTGTCTGGTTTCTATCTTGGGCACGGCATCGAGATGAGGTTGAACCACCAGCATCTTTTTTTAGATGATATATTACTTTCAAGTAATGATATTGAAAATGATGAATGATGATTATTAATGTTAATGCGTATTAATATTGTAATATAAATGATCATTTTTGCTATAGTTGTTCCACTTGTGGCAACCAAAGTTTTTTGTGTTATTCTATTGGAAGATGCCGCTGCTCATCTCCTGGTATTTTTATTTTACTCTGTCTACTTTTACGACACCATACGGGACGTAACGTGATGGCAATTCACGGAAGGCCTCTGTAATATTTTACATTATATCTTTAGTTTAGGAGCCCTATGTTCGGCAGTGGACTGTTGTAATGATGATGAATAATGATGACTAAAAATTGTAATTTTTGTTGCTTATTTGAACTATTTCTATTTTACTGTGTGCTTTATTATCTGTTATATATTATGTTATATGTGTAATTTATAAATAAACGCCGAGCAAAGTTGAATTTATTGCTCTGGCACCCTTTTTTTATCTCTTTTAATTGACAATATCCTTCTGATTTCTAATAATATCGTAAACGGGCGAGACTATTTTAATGATGTATGGGATTTATACTTGCTAATAGATGAATACTTTAATGAACAATGGGCCGGCACTGCACCTGTCTGCTGTGTTATTTTTAAAAGAGGACTCATAAAACACTGACGATTTTTACCATAATTAATGCAATGCACATGATCTTTGGGACTTATTACATATCAATATCATATCATAAATAGAAATGTTACCATCAAGTTATTTTGAAAAAATCTTTTGATATGAAAACACGAAAAATATTTCTACATATGTCCGTTATGAAACCATCCAAGCGTTTTTGATGAAATGTTTATGTGTGTTTGAATGGGTCCCTATATGATTCATATTCACATATGGACTCGGTAGGTGGCGCTGTTGTCGAAATCCAGAAATCACCTGTGCGAAGTCGGGGCGGATCGCTAATAATAAATACAATTAAACTATACCTGTGTGTTTGTTATCCCGGCACAAACAGTTCAAAACATCTTACTTCCTCACTATTTATCAGTGTGTAATAACAGATAAGCATGATATTACCTAGTCATTTTGGTACTTTACAACCCAGTCATTTTAAGATGTATAATTAGGTATTTAATAATCAACCAAAGCATATTAAAAAAAGTCTTGACACCGGGCCTGTCTGTCTGTCTGCATTAATAGATCTGAATTATATGTCTGAATTATATAGACTATGTTGAAAATGATGATTTACTATCTATAAATACGGTTGCATTATAACTTGTTTTTTACACAGTCAGTTTAAAACATCTTTCTTACTATATAACGTGTGTTGGTAATATTGTAAATATAAATGGACATATTATACCTTAGTCATCTTGAATTTAATCATATTATTTTAACGGTAATTGGGAAGTACACTCACAATCAATATATGTAAAAAATAATATCCATACCACATTTGTACACAGACAGGCACTATATTTTGTCGTAACTACTAAAAATATAAAATCATGGAAAATCTTTTTATAAATATTTATTTCTAAAAAGATTTTCCATGGATTTTGAAGTACCTGAAAATGCTGAATGTACCTACAACTTGGTTTTATATGAACTATTATTCAACAGTGCACTATTTTAACTTAAAATACCGGTAAAAACCACTATAAACAGCTTTTAGTTTATTTCTAGGTTATTTTAAAATTCATATTTTAATTGTTAATTTCTCAGTTTTCCGTTTAGATGTGGTAAAACTAATATTACTTTTGTAATCTATAGATTATAAGGAATAAATCGACATGCATTTCATTGCGTGACGCGAAAATTTGTGGTGGGCCCATTCTCCATACAAAAATTGATTGTCTCCTTTTGCTTCCAATTTTATTTTTGACTAATACTGAAGTGAATATCATTTCCGGTCATATAACAAGCAAGGCAAAATGTAGCAAAGCATGGTTTGCCAGATATTATTGGGGCTATTGACTGTACCCATGTTGATATATTTCGCCTACCGTTCCAGACTGGGGTTTAGTACAAGAAAAGGGCGGTCTACAATAATTGTTCAACTGGTAATAGCAAACAAGATAGAGTTTTTAAAAAACCTAAAACCTAATAACCAAGTTTTTTCTTAATAAAGGATAGTAGTGTTATATTCATCTAATATTCCCCTTTCTCCCTGAAATAACCGTAATGCTTATGTGCCTCAATAGTCTTACAGGTGTTACAATGAGACTATTGTCGTCCCGGTTAACGATTCTACAACCTTTCAGATTTTAATCACCCCTTAGACATTGAGCTATTGAGTATCAATAGCTCAATACCATGATTTAATTACATAGGTTGTGGATGTTGAGTACCACATGATTGACATAAATGAACAATATGTGTCATATCAATAATTACACTAATAAGTATATTTATGAACTAAAGAAAATAACTACTACATCGAATACATCTTTTGAAAGAATTAGTTTAGATATAATGGGGCCATTGGAAGTAGATGATTTAGGTAATGGGTATATATTGACCCTACAGTGCGATCTTACAAAATTTGTAGAAACCTACTGTGTTTTGCACCGCGTATCACCATGGAACCCATGGTTTCACACATAAGCATCTTGACATTTTTCTCAGAATGCAGTGTGAAGGTAATTAACGAAATTGGATTACTTGAGTTCTGTACTGGTGTTTTTCGTTTAATACGTCAGTACATTCACAGACAAAATAAACTCCCTATGAATTAGTTTTTGGTAAGACTCGTATTTTACCTAGTTACTTAAGTAAATTTTTAACACCGTCATATAGTTAAACTGTCAAACGAACTTACCTCAAGTGAAGTTCAACCATAATTATACAAAGCTCCTTGTCCTAGACATTCTTAACCCTTGATTTACCACCGCAATTAAAATATCACTTATCGCCACCATGAGTCTCTGGGACTCATGTTTTAAATTTTTAAACAAAAACTGAACGAAAGATGTTATTTATGTTGTTATTTATTAGACTTCTAGCAAACACTCGTACATATCCGGTAACATTTTGTGATAAACTCAAATTAATATGCAGTTTGCAAATACTTTAAAATTAACAGTCATCAAAAATCGTCAGTTACGACTTACAGAAGAAAAAATAAATGTTGTAGCTCTTGGACAAAATAAAATATGTTTTCTTATAAAAGACGTTATGAGGTAATTAAAAATAATAATAATTAATAATGGCACTATACAAAATTTCAAAACGTGCAGTAAGTTAACATACTAATATTTTACACATTCTTGGCATATACTTTTGGAACAAGTAAGGCAGATTGGCTTCTTACAGACAGTGCAAAGATAAGCAGTCTTTCTTATGATTGCAAGTGTAGCAATATTTGCGCCGATCTCTCGGTAAATTATCATCTTTTTGCGTTGTACTTGGTTGATCTGGACATTCCTGATCAACCAAGGACAACATACCATGCCTTAGACATTCTAAGGCATGGTATTTTGTCCAAGTTACTAAGAATAGTACAGAAGTTAAGAAGAACGGGAGTTCTTCAGTCTCGGAGCATTCCGAATTGGTGTCGTGATCACTCACAACATAATCGGCGTCCTCGTTATCAGAATGTGGCTCACGAATACATTCAGCTGCATAGCCGCTACCATCACCAATCTCCTCATCTTCGCCCAGTAAATCATCTTCTTGCAGCCTCATTCAAGAAAAGAAAAGAGCTTACTCCGGCAACGCACCTGCAAATCCTCTGGTGGTGCGGATTTTCACGGGCGGCGGTAGTCACTTAACATCAGGTGAACCGTATGCTCGTTTGCCCCCTTTTTTATGAAAAAAAAAAAACATTCATTTATGATATCTGAGGCTAAATTATTTGCAATGTATACCGATTCAATCCTTCTACGTTTACATGCCATAGTAAAAAGGTACAACAAAATTAACATAGATAAACAAAAAAGTCAGTAGATCCATTTTTGTCACACAACACTCCACCATGAGTCCCTAAGACTCACACTCGATCATATTTACCCTTCCGAACGACGTGAGCATGCGACCGCTCACCTCTGCGTCCTGCACCTCACCGCAGGGAGGTACTAGAAAGCGCAAGTCTAAACTCTAAAAAAATAAACTATTTTTTTTGTTGTTTAAAAGCGGTGATGAGTCCCGTGGACTCAGGGTGATGCATTAAGGGTTAACAATTGTAGTACGTCGCATTTCATGCCAGCAACACAATTTATCCAAGCTCGCTAAAAAAAATTTTAAGGACCAGTATATAGGGCAACACTGAATCAGCCCATCCGTCGATACAATTTCATTATGTTTAAAGCAAGAAGTCAGATGAGCAACCCTAAGCCAGGGAGGGTTAGACAGGGAGTACCGTCTAGGATGAGGAGCTTCGTATAATTATGGTTGAATTCACTTAAGGTAAATTCGTTTAACCATTTAATTATACTCTGTTCTTGTCCTCGACATTCTCAACAATTTTATATGTTTGAAGACAGGGTTGCGAATTTATAATACCAATGAATAGAAAATTTGCAATTTTTCTTATTTTATAAAAATGTTTAAGATATTGTCTGTATGTCATAAATTTAAATTAATAACATAAAATAAATTATCTTTATTTTATAACATTTTCATAAACACATAAGGCCAGCTTGATTGCAACAAAAGTGGCCCTGTAGAAGAACTATGACTGAAAAAGAAAACAATCTGGAATATCTATTTCAGTTTAATTTATAATAAATTTAAATTTAACATTTTATAACTTAAGAAATACTTTTCTAAGTGGGTACTTGTGAGTTAATGTTTTTCACTATCAATATCTACTAAAAATTTATCACTATCTCGCCTTCTGTTTTCAATAAAAATATTCACAAGAAAAGTTCAACACCTTCACATTTTTTTCCATGCAAACCCTGTTGAAGTGAAATTCTATCTATATCTTAACTATACATCTGAGCTCCCCTTTGAATAAATGTAACATTTTTTGAAGGACAATGTATGTATATTATAACCTGGAACACAACACAGCTCAGTTTGTTACTAGTTTTTGTAAATTTCTGTATTCTCAATATTTATCGCAATATTCTGTTGTTAAATAATCTAAGAGTAACTGATTATTAAGTCCATTTTTATAACTCAAACCTAAGTAAAAGGCACAAAAGCCCAGTAAGGAATGTCATTACACTTACTACAATTTGACACTATAGAGAATTAATAATTTTATATATTTTTAATAATTTATAGTATTTGACAAAGAAGAGTTCACTATAATTCTTAGTATGAATTTTGTGGTGAATTTTGGAGAGCCATATTCTACAAAATGCTTCACTAATAGTAACATATAATGTGTATGAGATGTCTATGAGATGACTGTAACATATGACACAGTATGATTATCTGTAAGGCAGTGTTATAATAATTTCTGATTTTATCAAAATAAATATTTCATTTTTTCACATTTACTACCCATATGGAAAAACAATGATAAACAATATGAAAAAACAAACCTATGGTTTTTTGACTCAATTTTTTGACAGCTTTTTTTGACAGCAATTTTTCTAATATAACTGAAATGTTTTGGGTCATGCCTACAGAAAGCCATTTTCTGCTAATAATTTTATTATTTTACGTTACTAACAACTTGATCAATTTTTAGTTTTTGACACTTTTATGATCTTGTTGAATATACTTAAAAAACATCATCTGAATTTTCTTTGTTTACTTGGCTCAATTTTGTATTGTATGCTAAATTTCCATATTTTTATTTAATATAAAGTATTGAATCATCAATAATTAAGGAATAGAATCATCTCTATCTTGTTAATATATGAGCAGGGGTTTTATCAACTGTGATTAAAATTGTACACTATTATTTAGTTGTAGTAAGTTTGTTATTCATAATAACTATGTCATTTTGATTAAAGTTTTTGTATTGTCTTCTACAATTTTCAAAATAATGAGCATATACTACTTTCATATTCAATAATAACTATGTAATTTTCTCTCAATGAAGGACCTAGATCCAAATTTTGTCTCATTCCATTGTCGTATCTCAATCATCCAAAGTTGAGAAGTGTCAATTTATACTTCAAACAGTTTTATGCGTTTAATTTTTTTCGCAATATTTTTACCCATCTTGGGTCAGAAATTTGCGACTGAATATATATTACATTACACATACATTATTATATATAAAAAGGTTTAAATCACAACGTTATTAACCTCATTTTACTAATAGCAAACTAAATAGGTAGTGCACAAATATATATAGTCTTTACTAATATCGTGAAATTTTTATAAAGTTCTTAAGTATTTTTATATAATTTCCTCTTACTTCAACAAATTTATTTTTGTTGCTAACATATTTTGGTAATCAGTTGTATGCATCTGTCAGCATAACTCTATTGTGTGTTTACCATACCTATTTTTAGTATATGAAGGTAAAAATAAGAACCTGATAGGTATGACGCCATACCCAATTTTACTGAACAAACCCATTTTTATTTTTAGATTATTACTTACCATTTTTTACTAAGTCCTTCGCATATTACTTATATTTAACTTGTCATAACCTTTTAATATTTTACAATAGGAAAATAATTTCCTATATTTATTTTTAAATTTCTTTTTAATTGTTTAATTTACCACTGTTTTAATTAGTGAAGTTTGTAAGTTTTATATTTTCCCAGATTGACATATTATGTACCGCTGCAGTTTATTGATGCATTTGCAACTCATCATTCTATTTAAAACCTAATGATGCTGAACAGTTTTTTTCTTTCTTATAATTAAGGTTATATTAAGTTAAATATTGCAGCTCGAATGCAACAATCTGCCTTCACTGGACTAGACATGTTTCTCTACTACAGAAGTGAGCTTTCGTGCTGGTCAGATTTCTTGCTTGTTTAGCTCTGCAATGCTGCATTTGGTAATGATTAAACCAAAACCAGGAGTTTTCCTGACAGTTTTTTTTTTGTCTTTACTTTTATGATATTAAACATGGAATAAAGGATTACCCTCCGTTTCTTAAAGTTTACAGCTCTGAATCAAATGAATTCCTCGTAGTAGATAATATTTATATTCACTCCTACTTGTCAATTGTAATCCCAGCAAAATGGATATATTTCAACTTTCAGCTAAAATAACTGGTTGAATTATTCATATCAAACCTTCTGGTTTTATGAACCTATGAAAATCACGTTTTCATGGTAAACCGTTTGGTGGAGCCACGTGTTTAAGGCTGCCGAAGTCTAGTTCCCCGGGTCGAACCTTAAATCTATTACGCGAGATATTAATCTAAGTGGACTGTATCTACTAAATGTTTCTACACTTATATATGCGGTACAATGCACTCGCTCTTCCCAAAAAAAAAAACGAACTATTATTTGCCAAATCGATGAAAGGAATCCTGCTTGATTAGGAAAACACAAAATTGGAGCGGGTTAAAATAATTATATCAAGCAGGCTATAATATTGAATATTGACTCACCGGGATGTTTCTTCTATGCGGTCGAGCACTATAACTGCGACTTCTGGAACTTCTTCTGGAACACTCCGGAGAGGGGCGGTGCGCGACTATATCCCACACGAGGTGAGGCGGGTTTCCTGGAGCTCGACTGCTTCCAGGCTAAAGCGGTTTCTACTAATGATGTGGTTCCAATGACGAGCGCGGCAGGAAGAGAGCTCTTTAGGACACTATTATCCTAGGCGGTGTGGTTTCAACGACGAGCGCGGCGGGAAGAGGCTGCGCGTCGGTCGCGCGTGCCTTATATATCCTTGGTTCCGATGATTTCGTGATGTTCTAGAATCATCTTCTCTCACCTCCCACCCCACCACCCCGATGTGTCGATAGGAGGGTATGAATGATATCGTTTTGGAAAGAGATAACCGATTTGGCAGCCTACCGTCAAATAAAATAAATCCGAATGGTTTTCCGCGCAACCATCTCCCCCCGCCCTTGAAGGATCTCCTTCAAAAAATAACTAAAACAACTAAAGCTAAGATCAACTAAGAAATAACTAACTAACGCTAAGATTACCTAAATTCAACTACAATTTTAATCTAGAAAGCTAATTTAAATTATGGAAGAGGCAAGGGGCACAAACGGACAACAGGACGTAGGTAAGACCCAACCGTGGTCTTAACGCGAGCTATCCTAATTACTCCGTCGGAACCGGGAAAGACCTTTTCGACAATTCCTAACGGCCAGTGGAGAGGCGGCGCATTCTCCTTAGTGAGCACAACTACAGTTCCTACAGCTAAAGGCTCAGTCGTTGTGTTCCATTTTTGCCGAGACTGCAAAGTATGCAAGTATTCCATCCTCCATCGTTTCCAAAACGATTGCACTAACCGGTCTAATAATTTGTGGCGTGCGGAAATGCTAAGTCTGTTCTCATCCATATCTGCGGCGGGCAAATACTTTAAAGGCGTTAAATTCAAAAAATGTGCTGGAGTTAGAGCCAGCGGTTCCGAGGGGTCACTAGACAACTTCCGACAAAGTGGGCGGCTATTCATTACGCATTCAATTTGAGCGAGCACCGTACTTAGCTCTTCGAAGGACAAAATTTGATCTCTTATTACTCGGTATAAGTGACTCTTTAGACTCTTAATATTAGTCTCCCAATTGCCCCCAAAATGACTCGCGGCTGGGACATTCAGAGACCACTCATGCGTTCTCGATTAGAATGTGAGCGAACTCC